TATTGGACATTCCAGACTCAAGCTTCATCGTCAATTGCAGTCGACCTAGCGTCGATTGGCTTTCTTTCTTTGTCAAGTTAGTTTGGCTCTTGAAAGTCTCGTTGCATACAATCCTTGTTTTACCGCTTACCGGATCATTGTGACAACAACCCTTATGCAAACCTTCGTTGCCAGAATGTCTGAAGTATTCACCAAGACCGTTGAACTCAAACCGGGCTAATTCACATACATCCCATAGAAACGGGCGGATGTTCGCCTAGTAACCGAGACGAGTTGACCTGTCAACGAAGGCAAACGGACCTTCGCTACAGCCAAGTGGGGAGGCATGTTTCCTCCAGAAAGATCGATCCTGTTCGGAGTGCAGCGACTTGCTGATTCGCCCGCCTGGCAACGCCACTTGCAGGGCAAGTTCTTTCCACCGAAGATGCCCTGTCAAGATAGGCATCTCGAAGCCGCCATAGCGTGTGGCATTTCAACTCTGGGGCTTCCAATCTGTAGCCGGCAGGTAGGGTACATGAGGAGGAAGAGTCAAAAAGACACGCACACAGGGGGGTCAGTCTGGAAATGATAAAAAAGACATTCTTGCTGTATGGTTGATTAACCAATTAAATTATTAAATAAATGAATCGATGCAAAAGGCGATTGTACCATTGTCTATAAATGAAATACTAATTAATAGCTTTGGAGGCAAGGCAACTGGATATGGATCGATGGCTGGCACCCAATTACCCTCACACATATCGAGATACACAATTCCACATAAACACACACACACACACACACATAAAAACGTATGCTTATAAATCTGTGCATACAACCTTACAGGATAAATCTTGAGGATTCTTGGGGCCAGCTGTAAATGAATTAATCCAAAAGTTGAAATGATCTTACGTTATTCCTTTGAAATGGTAGAGGAATCACGTTTATCCTAATTCATATTGTTCAATTCGTAGCCAGTCATTGGCTTTCAAATGATACGTTTAAGACAGCTGACGAGAAGTTGATATTTGGCTCCATACTTCGGGAGGAAATCCTAACGAAAACACATGATGGCGTATCTTTGCGTTAGTTTGAAGAGGCGAGTAGAGCGGATTCCAAAATTGGCCTCATAGGCATCTTTGCAGTTGTGAATGTAGATTTAGGCGCTATAAATTATCGAAAAGCATGGTATAGTTTTCA